ATGAACATTTTTAGTTGAAGTTATTTTAATCGATTCTTCTTCTAACCTTCCAAGTTAAAAGGCAGTGGATATCTCCATATGAATTGTAAATTTGCAGAAACAGATTAGTGAAGGCGATTTTTATATTGAAAACGTTACAGTTTGTAGGCTCGTACCAAGTCATATGTGTACTATCAGATCAGGTACACAGTGTAGTCTGTAGATAATTTTTAAGTAAGCTTACATGTAGATAATTTTTGGGTAATCTGACAGTGTAAAAAAACTTTACACTGTTTATTACTTAAAACTCAAACAAAAATGAGGTGAAAAATGTATATTTCATCATGATTGAGTAATAAAAGTTTATTTGTGTCCTCATATCTCAATAAGTAAACTTTCTTGCTATAATTTTTGTCCTTTTATCCTTTTTCTTTTTTTCCACGTGTTAGGTTGTGGAATGTACTCTACCTTTTTGTTTGTGGTTTGAATTAAATATATTGTGGTATATGGAACTGGACAACATCAAATCCCCATCATATTTGTGCAAGATGGCACAATTTTCTTCCCGTTGCCTATTTTCTCAGTATATTTTCAGTAGTCAGGACGACTTTCTCCACATCTCTCTCTTGGGGTCGATTCTTATTAGGATAAAATGCGCTCCATCAATTAAATTTGGACACAACAAAATGTTGTTATCATTGTGGATTAATTGGATTTTTGCACTAATCCACACTTAATTAAGCCGAAAGAGAAGGTAGTTGGTGCAGTTGTCAATATGGTGGTGATAAAAATGACTACTTCCACTTGCTAATAATAGAAGTCCCTAATTTCAGCATCTTAATTCTTATCTGTACTATCATACATTTTAGAATGATATTGTGATTAAGATTCTAATTCGTCTAGGGTACAAATTGTCATATCGTTGAACATATTCTGACGTTCATCTCTTAAAGTGAGAAACTTTTGTTTGACTTAAGCTTCCTCTCTCTATGTTATTTCCGATTTCAAATATACTTCAACTGTACCACCTTCTGAATAGTTAAAATATTGGTGTAATAGGTATATCCAAACTGGTAGGCTCGTCTTATTTGCAAATACTGAAATTCAATATCTACAAACACTCTTTTTCAAATTCAACTTCACCTTCAAGAATAGTAAACTTCAAATACTTTCTCTACAACTTCAACCAAATATTGTTCAAAATATTTAAGATTTTGGTTTGTATCGACTGATAATACAAATAATATTTACTAAAGTAGCTTCAGACTCGAGTAGGTGACCACATTATTTTTCAAAATTTTACTCGAAACGTACACTTTAATCAGACTTTTTAAGCAACTTGAGTGTCAGAAATAAATTCCTAAATAAATGATGTAATCCCTTGTATTTTTTGTCTCACATACGGGAAGTACTATACAGCATAGTTTTCAACTTTTTCGTACTAAGCTCACATTATTTTCATAACAATATCCATCTACCTAACAGTCATAAGCTAAAAACCAATAACTTATACTCGAAAGACCACAACTTTGTCTACTATCCGCGTTTAATTTTTTCATATGAGTGTTCTCACGAAGAAATCAGATAACAGAAAATCTAATCTTGGAATTTGATGAAGATGATGATTGAATAACAAATTATTGTCGTGACTTCAAGAGAGGAGTATTTCCTAATGAGAATAGATAATTAATTAGGTCAGGTAGGTGTACACCTAATTTAATGCCAAGAATAAACTTTAACTTGCAAATGGTTAAGCTGTTAGTTTTCAGTTAGCAATTTGCAGTTGAGAAGCTTAAATAGCTTCAAACTCGATATTTTAATTCAGGTGAAGAATGTGTAGACAACGATCTGATGGACAGACAAGCTAACATATTACTTAGGTGAACATACACATTACACACGCTATTCCCTAGATTACACCACAACAAATAAGAATTAAATTTATATGTTTTTTTGTTTTTTTTTCGCAAAATAGCATTAACTGTCATATTTTTAATCCTGTGTGGTAAATTTTCTATAGTTTTCATTCAGTTTTTTCTAAAAGTAATTAGAAAATTATTTCCTCATTTTTTCATTGCTCATGTGCAACGTGCGCACGTGTGCGAACTAGTTTCTGTAAAGTAATGGAATGAATCTTTGTAGGTACGAGTAAACTTCGAAACCGGAAATTCCTAAAATTGCCGTGTGGTTGATGGTATTTGAAGTTTATAGATTTTAAATTTGTCATTCTCAGCTATCTTATTTATATATATTTAACAAATCTAATATAAATACAGGCTTTAAGTAAAAATTATTTGATTCGTCTGAACCTGTACCGCTGCTCTGCTCCTGATAGTGCACTTTAATCATCTATAATCTCATAGGAAAACAACATAAAATGCCTGGTGTGGATAAAGGTAGCTACAACTCACTTAGGGCCCGTTTGGTCATGAATTTTTTTTCACTTTTTCCAAATACTGTTCACTTTTTTCCGAAATCATTATTTGGTCCTAAAATTTTCAATTTTTACTTGAAGATGAATTTTGAAATTTTTCGAAATTTAAAAAACTCAAGAAACTGTTTTCCAAAATTTTCACTTCAGATCACTCACAAATTCAAAAACAACCCAAAATTATATTCATATTCAAACACAACTTTAGTTTTCAAATACCATTTTCACTTGGAAAATTTTTTTCACTTTTTTCCCTAAATTTTACAACTCTTATGTCCAAACGCCCACTTAGATGACTATTAGTCGATCATTTTGTACTTAAAATTTTGATGATCTGGGAAATTTGGCTTATTCTCTCATTTTTTGTCTGTTCTTTCAGGAGAAAAGACACAGAATTTCCTTTTAAGTAAAAGGACAAATACAATATATTATTACATAGAAGAACACTTTCAGGTATGAAGCTTTAGACGTATAGATCCCTGCATCATAATGATCAGACGCCATGGGTGGTATTGATAATTTGATAGTTTCCATGCATGAATCATCAAAAAGGAAAATGAATACAGTAATAATGGGTGAAGGTAGAGTGTCGAAAGCGGGTTCGGTAAAATTCAATAGTTTTAGTTCAAATTTTATATTTTTCTTAAGATATTTATTTAACATGTATAAATTATTAATTTAGGATTCAATAAATAAAAAAACTAAAATTCTGAATCACAAACTTTAAATCTTGACTCCGCTAAGAGATCAAGGAAGAGCAGCGCGTGAAGAAAAAGTAGGTAAAACTGGTAAAGAGACGAGAACAAGTCCAATAATATCATGAATAACACATATATGCATAAATGAATTTCATTTTTTTATGAAGCTAATTAGGCTTTTGCCATGTACTGACGTACGTCGATTTATCATGCCGCAGAAATCCTTTTCTGAAAGTTCAAATTCCAACGAAGAAAAAAATACTAGGTAATTTTTTTTTATTTGTCTAGCTTTGGTGGACGAAATTATTACTCGGTAACTATATAAAAAATGCTATAGGGCGCGCGAACTGACTCCGACCTCATAGTCACATGGATAAAAAAAGATATCATTTGTGAATGCCTATCGACCCTAATTAATCAGCAATCACTCGGTTGTATTAGCATGAACTTACCGATAGTTACACTGTGTTTCAAACTTAATTACAGTGAATATTCAATAAAAATCATAAACTTTTATCTGAACCTTTGGCATAACTTTAATGTCGACTTCTGTGAAGACACTGTTTTTAAACTGTTTGTTGGGTAGGAAAATGAGAAGGACTAAGTGGATATGACATAGAAGCTGATCAGTTTTGCTTACAGATGTAGGTTGAGAGATGAATTAAGAAGGAGACTTCCTTTCCTAACAAACCAGTTTCTCATAAATAAAATATTAATAGACCAATGTTAGGCCAACAATCTGAAAGGACTCTTATGTAGGTATGACAAGTCAACAAAAGTTTTTCGTTATTCTGAAATTTTAACAAGATGGTTTTAATTTCAACATCGGTTACCAATTAATTTCTGAATACGACGTAATTAATCCCTATATATGTCTTTTATTTATTTATTTATTTAAATGTATTGAACTTTTTAAATTTGTTCTTTTTTAATAGATTAAAATAAGATAGCCGCCCTAATACTGCTGGAATAGGAACTATTTTGTTGAGATGAACTTGACAACCGGAGACTGGAACTCTAATATTATTAACGAGTACGAGAAAAAGCAGCATTAGTTCTTTGTTTAGTCAATTAGCAGCATCATTGTTGTTAGATGACCCATGACTAAGAGGGTAAATGCCCATATCAGCAATATGACTCCCTTTAATTTCTTTTTTGTTTTTCATGTTAAGTTAATGGAATGCGGATGTCATGTGTGAATGTAACATTTCCTAATTAAACTAACATGTTTTCTATATGTTCGTTAACATGGCTAAGAAATAGTCGTTGAATTGATTTTTCAATAACAATACTAAAACTAATTACAGAAGGATGAAAAATTCGATCAAGACAATGTTTCTGGTCATTTACCATGGTTACCTGCAGGTCACTAATCTGCTCTTATTATACCCAATAACTATTTATATTTGGCTTTTAAATAATATTCAAAACTATTTGCACTATATATATATNATTAAAATGAGATTTAATATTTTGTAGATAAGATAGGTAATTTACCTATTTTCCTGAATGTAAATTCTTTTAAACTATATATCGTGTAAATTAAAATAGTTAGAATATAAAAGAATCTTTAAATTTCATTTAGTTTTGGCATTAATCCATACATAATAGATGACTTGTGATTATGTATGGTACTTATGGTTGCAGAGGCGGAGCCAGGATTTGAAATTTTTGGATTCAGAATTTTAGTTTTTTTAAGTTACTAGGTTCTAAATTAATAATTTAAGCACATTTAATGAATTTTTTAAAACAAATATAGAGTGTGGACCGGCCGAACCCGGGCTGGCTCCGCTCATGCGGATGGATATTATTATATTGTTTTATGGGAGTTATGTTGTAGTTAGAGGAGGGGAATTAAAAGGTGGATTACCGTAGGTGGGTTATGAGCAGGCGTCATGTAGGTTAGAAAAACTTGTAAGGACGTTGAAAGCAGAACAAAACTCACCCACCTACGCAACCATATATCCTTAGCTTCTCTCTCTTTGATATATCCACTGAGTTGATGCAAAAGTACTAAAGCTTTAATATGTTAAAAGATCAGGTCGTTTGTTTGTTAGCCTAAACGTTGGCATCAATCGCAGGTATACCAATTCTGTCCAAATTAGACTCCAAACCCTTCGACTTCCTAACGGAAACCGCTTCTCAAATATCTTCGATCTTCTATTATATATCGTCAGATTATATTGTGTACATCTGGTTTCTTCTCTGCTAACATAACTTTCTATTTTTCTCCTTTCTAGGTTAAAATTTACTCTTAATTTGATGTACTGTTTTCCTGGTGTACTGCTGTATCTTGTTTCTCTAATTAGGTGCACCCTACACTACTTGCAGAAGTTGGATAGGAAAGACGATAAAGAAGAAGAAAAGGGCACCTGTATATAGTTGAGATCAGTTAATCTGAGGATATATATATATATAGGGTTTCTAAACAGTACTCTCTATATTGGTTTAGAGATTTGAGATTAATTGATCGATAATATAATGTGTAGCAGAGGGCATTGGAGGCCTCATGAAGATGAGAAACTCCGAGAGTTAGTCGCTAAATATGGACCTCATAATTGGAATGCTATTGCTGAAAACTTGCAAGGCAGATCAGGTACTGAACATCTACGACTAATAGTAGTATGTATTCTTTAATTTTCCATGTTCTTTTTTATGTATTTGTATTCCATATAGGCTTCGCGATGCTATAGGGCGCGCAGCCATATATCACCCAGGGTTGAACATCAAATTCATATGCTAGGAATGACTGGAAATAGGAAATTTATAGCAACCCATGCACGTCTTATATCTCCAAGAAAAAAAAAGACTTACATTCATCTTTAGTTACTTTTTCCTTTAAATTGTCAACTAGGTATCATCTTCTACCTTAAGGTCTTCTTTATTACATGATTTATGTCTACTAATTAGTTACGTTATTAGTTCTATTGGCCTCATTCAAGTATCATTTGTCTTCCTCTTCTTTTTGTCTTAAAGAAAATGAAGGGAAAACGAGAAAAAAGTAGGCTAATTTAAGGGGTACAATTATCATGAGGTGCAACTGATTAGGGTACGTACACACAACTATTATGTTAAGGTTATTCATATTAGGAGATTTAGCTTATATATAGATCGACAATGTAATGAGTTTTTACCCTATTATTATATTCTAACATTTTGTAGCTGTTATCGTGACTTATGTTCTTGTTTTCTAATCTTTTTTATTTTATTTTTATGGACAGTACGTTCCTATATATAATTATCATTTAAATGATCATATATTATGCAAATCGTTTATACTGTCTATCAAAGTGAAGCTCTCTATTAATATTGATGTTATCCTTATTTTGTTCAGGGAAGAGTTGTAGGTTGAGATGGTACAATCAGTTGGATCCAAGAATTAACAGAAGCCCATTTACAGAAGAGGAAGAAGAAAGACTACTTGCCTCTCACAGAATTCATGGGAATAGATGGGCTATAATTGCTAGGCTTTTTCCAGGTCGTACTGATAATGCTGTGAAAAATCATTGGCACGTTATCATGTCCAGAAGATGCAGAGAAAGATCTAAGATTTATTCCATGAGGAATATTGCTGCTGCCCCTAAATCAACAAGCCAACAAGACATATTAACAACTTCGCCGAGCCACGATATCATGAGAAAAACAAGTTCCAATAATTCTATTGATCATCAGCAATTATTAGGAAGATTTAATTATTATCCTTTCATCACTAATAATAATTCCCTTTATCCAAAAGAACTTCATTTCAACCACCTTCCAGCTCATCATTTGAAGATGGATGAAGGTATACATTCATGGTTAATTTGCTCTTAGTTTTTTCATCGATATTTTTGATATTTTTCCAGTGTTGTCATGTGACTTGTTATACTGTGTGACTACAAGACGATTTCATAATTTAAAGTTAATAGGTTCAATCTCTAAGTTCTTATCATTGAACTCGTTACAGTTTTGAAATCTCAAAATTGTGAATTTTAGTGATTATTTTTCATATAGTATATATTTATATTCTATATTAAAAATGCTATGTTCCGTTGAACTTGTTGATTATATGTTATATCAACCACTAGTGTGACCATCTCTTAGAAAAGCTTAATATGCATGTTAGAGGTAGAGCATACTTTTGTTTACTTAATTATCTTCGATTTGACGAAAGTTTTTATTCTCGATAAAACTAACTATTAGGTGTGGAAATTGCAGGCAAGAATGAAGCAATGCAATGCTATGACTTTCTACGAGTGAATACAGGCTCAAATAAAAGTGAAGTGGTAGAGGATAATATTACAAGAAGGGGTGATGAGGAAGTGGAACAAGAAGCTGGGGATAATTCCCTACAAAGCAAGGCTCCAGTGCGCTTTATAGATTTCCTCTCAGTTGGAGACTCATCGTAATTTCTTCACTCTTTTTGATTTATGAGGAAAATCTTCACTATAGATTTAGTGAAATGATATATTTATATGTTTCACACAATTTAGGACCTCTAACCTGGAACCCTGTAAAATTAAGTTTTCTGCACGCATAAAATCAAGTTTTCTGCATGCATAAGGTCTATTGTATGAATATTATTATATGTAATCTTATCACTATGAGTTGTCTCTGGAAATGAAATAAAATGGGAGAAAGTCAAAAGCTCTAACGGGTGTCAAACCCTTAATTCATTAGCTTTTACATATTTTCCAGAGGGGAATTTTCTGATCCATGCCACCACTGGCTTTTTTATTAAATGCATTATATGAGAAGAATTTAGCTTTCTGGGGTTCCTATTGCGCCCGAGTTGATTTAGGACTTTAACAGCTTGTTTGGATGATTGTTAGTATTGTATTGTATTGTATTATTATTCCAAAACAATGTTTGTTTTGATTATTTATTTAAAATTGATTGTATCGTATTGTAAATCCATTGTTCCGGAATAACCAAAAGCCCCATTTTCTGAAACAACGATTTGGTGTGGTGAGATTATTTCCTATTTTCTTTTTCAATTATGCCCTTGCTTATTACTTCATAATTCTATTTTATCCGTTATCTTCTTCTTTTTTTTATTTTAACTTCAAATCTCCAAACATACTTTGTCTACGTCATCTTTTCCAGGGTTGGTCCGTGTCGTTATTTTTATCCAAATCTCTGTTTGTTTCTTTACCTCTTTCCATCATTTTAGATTATTTTTTTTTGTTGCTAATGATAGTTAATTTTTTCCTTCAAGGTTTTGCTCTTGTTTTCATGCTACATAATTGGTGATAAATTAGTAGAAAGAAATTTTCTTAAATTATTTTTATACGTAATTCTTGATAAATTTTATTTAAAACAATTGAGGGTATTTTAGTAAATTTATTAATTATAATACAGTACGATATAGTCAAACCAAACAACAAAATTGTTATTTAACAGTAGCAAACGATACAATCTAATTAGACATTGTATCCATAAAATGATATAGTACAATATAATAAATTACAGTACAATACACTATAAAACGAATCTAAACATAGTGTAAGAAGCTGTAAAGGATTTGAAAACAAACAGGAGTCAGCCTATAATTTGTTGAACGAACTCATGATCCCTATTCCCTAACATTTGTAAGCTTCTGTTTTTACTATCGCAAAAATGTAGTACATTGTACTTTTGGTTTTTAACCATTCTGTCTTTAAATTATTACTTTGGGGTATGCTATCAAAATAGTTACTGACAAGTAGTACCACCTATTGGCTTCTTCATATTTCCTTATATGGAAAAAAATATAATGGGGTGCATACGCTATATAAATCTAATTAAGCTTCTAAAAATCAAAGAAATTATTTATAGACTTTGAAGATATCCTATTTAACAAAATTGTATAAGACATTTTTTAATTCCACAGAAACTTACCAGTTTTGTAATGAAATCATTTGCAGAAATCTAGTATAACTGAGTATATTTTAGTAAATGCACATAACATTTAATGGCAAGAAAACTACCACTTCACTTCTTGATCTCAACAGTTTCACCTTGATTAACCACTATGACAAGGTTTCATCAGATCATGTAAAAAGTGGGAAAATAAATAAATAATACCCTCTTATTCTTATACTGCTTATTTTGCTCAACAGCTCCACTTTGTTTGTTAACCAATAGGTCAAGGTTCATCAATATATTTTAGTTGACACAATCTAAGTTGATAACCTCAATAAGTATCTACTTAATAATAATAAATAAATAAAAAGCTTTTTCGTCTGTTTTTCCTTTTGGCATCAAAAAGAGACGTAACTAAGTAATTATAACAATACTATTATCACTAAATTTGTAAAGAGATTATTCATCAGTCATATAAACAATGCTAAGCCAAAAACTTCTTATTGGTAAAAGTGTTAGATTTTCTTTTGGAAAAATTTCATTGGATAGTCGCTCTCAAAATAATAACCGAAAAATGTATAAATTTTGTATATATGTACATCATATATGTTATATACAATAATTATATAAATTTTATACGTTGTTTTGGCTACCGAGTGTAAGTAGTTTCTGATGCGAGCTAAAAGTGATAATACTCATTTCTTTATTATGTGTAGCCCAATAAGGTTAAACCCATAACTTGAATACTTGATAATGAACAAATCCACCGTTAATTTAGTTCTTAGATGAACGTATTAGATTAAGTTAAAATTCTATAAATTGATCATTTCTCTACCCAAGCATTACCTTATTGTGTACGTTTTTCCATCATTGAAAGTGTGGTAACATAAGTTACGACAAGGGGAGAAAAATAATTTTTAGTAGAAAGCTTTATTTTCTTTTCCCATACTACAAAGCTTGTAAATCTTCTACAATAATGTCTTTTGAATTAGGTAGGTCTTCCGTAATATCTTTCTATACTATTATCATAATAAAAATTTGACATGTATGATTTGATTTATGTTATGTCATATATGTTTATGTATGCAAAAACTACGAGGTATGATTGAAAATTACAATAAAATAACTATTGACATGTTTAAGGATCTTTAATAATTTTTAGAATTATTGAATACAAAGTTCTACCGCAAAAATCTTCATTTAACACGTCAGACTCTCACAACATACGTTTACAGTCTAATGATATCATTAAACGCTTCTACGCCATCAATTTCACCCATACCCCATCCCTAGACCCCCTAAATAAATAGAAAAAAAAAATCTATTAAAAAACGAAGGAAAGAAGTGGAGTACTAAAACTATGGCTGTCAAACGGGCCGGGCTGGCCCGGTAGTTAGGGGGGCCGGCAAGTATACATGTTAATCGGGTCACGCTGACCCGTTTGCAACCCGGTTCCGTCCGGTACTGTAGCGTAGGGGCGGGCTGAGACGGATTGGGCGGGGAGCAGGTTTCAAACGAACAGTTTTTTTATACTGGTACACCGGAACCCGCTAAGCCCGTTAACCCGTTAACGGGTTTTTAACGGGCTACAGCCCGGTTCAACCCGGTATCCGTTATAATTTCTTTTTTTTAAATTTTTTTTCCTGGACCGTTGCCAACGGCCAAATTCAAATATGACCGTTGGCCAACGCCCTTTTTTGCAGAAATGGCCATTTCGGCCTACCCCTTAAGAAAATAGACCACACACCCCTAATATTTGATAAATTATAATTTTAACCTTTTAAAAACTATAAATAGCCCCCCTTCTTCTTTATTTTTCCTCACAATTCACTCTCTTACTATTCTAATTCTCTCTCAATTCTCTCTTGATATTATTGATTATTGTTCTTAAATTCTCAATTACTTATTATTTCAAGTTTCATCAAATATTTAGTTTAGCCATTACAAAATTATTATTATCAAATATCAAGTATTCAAGTGAAGTGTAGTATCAACTATCAAGTATCAACTATCAAGTATCGATCTATCAATTGAAGTTTGATTTTTGATATCAAATTTAGTGCGGCATCCGGAATGCCGGTACACTTGTTCCATATCTTTCTCTTCTTTGGTACACTTATTTTATTATTTAAAATTATTAATTTAATTTACATAATGGATATATTTAGAGCAGCCAAAAAAGCGTGCACTAGTAGAGGCGGTAGTAAGAAAACTTTCAAAAGATCAAGAGGTGGTACTTGTTCTTCTAGTAGCTTTACACATATTTCTGAAAGTTCACCTGAAAATTTTTATGCAAAAACGTATTATTGTTTTTAAATATGATGAAGATCAAAGTCATACTATCCATGAAGTTGCTATATTTTATAATCTTGCAGAAAAAGTTTTATGTGTGTCATTTGATAATGCTTATAACAACAATACTGCTATTACAATATTAAAATTGTATCTACACCCACCACTTCCTGAAATATTTCATGTTAAATATGCATATCATATTTATAATTTGATTGTGAAGAGTGACCTTGAATTATTTAGAGATGATATCATTTTAGTTAAAATAGTTGTTGGTATAATTCAAGAAAATAATAGAAGTGCTAAATTAAATGCATTTAAAGAAAAATGTGTACACTATGGACTACAACCAAGACTCATGCCTGAAAAAATAGTTACTAGATGAAATTATACTTATTTATTCTAAATGTTGTGATAAATATAGAATACCTATAACTGAAGTCGCTAATTCTCATTGTATCGATCCTAGCCGTTTGTTAACATCTAGAACTTGGGATGTCATTGAAGATGTTATAAAGTTTTTACAAAAAATTTATGTGGCTACACTTGAGTTTTCTGAAGCTTATTATCCTACTATTACAAATGGTTTAGTTCATATTGCTGAAATTTCTCTTTTACTACATAATTTGAAGAAGAAAGAAGGATATACTTCTATTGTTGAATCTATGCTAGATAAGTTTAAAAAATATTTCTACCAAATTCCCCCTATTTACCTAATTGGTGCTATTTTAAACCTTTCTATCAAAATGGCTACTTATCGTCAATTAATCAGTGCTTTATATTCTTATATGGATATTGGACCAACTGAAACTCCTGATATTGACACTTGTATTTCTGATCTGCACAAATATTTTAGAAATATTATATAATTATTATGCTAAAATTGTTGATGCTTCTTCTGTTGTAGATGCAAATATTCCTTCAAGTTCAGTTTCAACATCTGGGACTAGTGCTTTGGATGATAATGATGGTGTTGAAGATTATTTGATTTGGTCTACACTAGGGGAGTATCAACAAACCAGTAGCAGGAATATTGACGAACTTCAATTCTACTTGCAAAAGTCAGCAGAGCCCCGCACAAAAGAATTTCTATCATTGGGTTGGTGGAGGAGCAACTCAAATCAATTTCATGTTCTTTTCGGCCTTGGCTTGAGACGTGCTAAATGTGTGATGATTTCAACAGTCGCATCAGAGAGCGTATTTAGCCAAGCAAAGTATCAACTAGGAGATACCCGTCATTCATTGGGCAGCAACGCTTTGGAAATTCTAGTATGCTTCAGAAATTGGATAAGATCAGAATGACGAAATAAAGGGTGTGGCGAGGTAGATGAAGCGGAGAACCAAGAAATTGGAGATATAATGGTTTATGGTTCTGATTCAACCAATACCGGAAACCAAGAACCTCATGTTGACATGGATGAACTTACAAAAATGATGCAAAGCATGTGATGTACTATTTTTTATAATTGTTGTAAACTTTTAATTTGCAAGTTCAAAAATAACAAAATCAAAAAAGAACCTTGCAACTTAATTTGAAGTATTATATATTATTCAATAAAAATATCAAATGAAAGCCTTCGGAGGTTGATCCTTACATATTGCTTGTTGGTCTCATTAAATAATTTTTTGTAGCCACTTACTTTCAAATTTCAATTTTAAAATTATAAAATTCAAATTTCAAATTTAAAACTTTAAACTTCAAAGTTTAATTC